CGCCAGCAAAACCCGTGAGTGGTGATGGTGCGATCTTGATGTCTCCTTCGGTGATGCTCATCTTCCACATATTATCCATAAAGATTAGATCGATGGAGCTGCCAGTGTCGACTAGGATTTTCAAGAGGTCTTCTTCCCCAAGTCAAAGTGAGATGATGAGGGGATCGTTGTGTTGTCGATCTAAACCCTGTGCATCCTGTCCGGTAAATGTGATCGGGAGATCGTCTTTGAACAACGATGGGGGGTCTTTTGGTGGATTAGCGGCTTTTCGCTTGTGCTGTTTGATTGAGTTGATGGAGTCAGTGCATGAGATGAGTCCTCACATAATCATGTTGATCCATCGTCGAGGTGAAGTCGGAGGTGTGTGGTCATCCTCTCGATCCTGTTTTGCTTCCTTTCTTTCGTTCTTGGCGGATGGTTGGTCAGTATCAGATCGTCTGTCTTGATCATTGTCTGGTCGTCTATCCTGGTTATTGTCAACTCATCGCAAACTACGGGGTTCTTGAACGCTGCATTCACCGTCTTCCCACTTTTTTCTTAAGAGTGTCATGAGGGTATAGCAATCGTCCGTATGATGGCTATGCACTTTGTGGTAAGTACAGTATGACTTCTTACTGTCGAGATCCTTGGCGCTCTGGTGATCCCAAGTGTTCCAGCTTGATTGCCGAGCGACGGTGTTGATATTCTTGCGGCTTCTATCGTCCCAGTCGTATACTGCCGAGGCTCCTGATGGTTATCCTAATTCGAAGTCTGGGGTTTCTTTTCGCGTGAAGTCTTCTCATCGGCCAAATTGGCTTTGGCCGCCTTGTCCTCCTCGAGTCTGATGTAGCCATTTGCTTTATGCAAGGCATCTTCTAGCGTCTTGGTTTTGCCAGTCTTCAACCTTTCGCAATAGGACTGGTCGTCTCTCAAATTCCTGATCAGGATGTTGAGAGAGAGTTTGTCCGACAAGCTGCATCGGGAAACTATGGACCGAAATCTATTGATGTAGTCACCCAAGTATCGCCTTGGACACATGCCCATAAATCGAGTGTTGTAGATTCCGCATCGATGTAGATCGAATTGTGCTTAAGAAAATGACTCGTGAGTTCCTCGTAACTGTCGATGGAATTCGGCGGGAGCTGCGAAAACCAGGTGAGGGCACTTCCAGAGAGCGACTCCACGAAGTACTGACAGAGGCATGCATCTCGCTCTTTGTCTGTAAAGCGAGCTCGTCCCATGACCGCGTTAAACACGGCCAGATGTCGCTTTGGGTCGGTTGTGCATGTATAGCTGAAAGGCAGCTTCATCCGTCCAATGTCCTTGAGTGGGGCTTTGGTGATGGCTGACGTAAATGGTGTGCTGCGTCTGTTGGAGTATTTTGTCTAACTTTGGGGCCGAGGTCGTCGCCTTGTGGACCTTGGTATTTATGTCGTCAAGGCGTTGATGGAGAAGATCGAGCTCGGAGGCTGTCGTTGGATCGACACCTGTGGTATTTTGGGACGAACGGGCGTTGGAGCCTTCCACCTGTACCCTCCGTAGATCATCTGTTGGAGTGGTGCCGAATAGGTTATTCAGCAGCCTCGTCGTTTCTGGGTTGCGGATCGGCTGGTGTGGAGGCGTGGTTAGGTCGGCCTGCTCCTGGGTATGAACCCTAGCGTTGAGAAGCTGATCTAGGTCTTCTCGGTAAGCGATCTGTTCAGCGCAAAGGGACTCGAACCAAGCATCCATGCCCTGTTGCAGCTGGGTCACGACCGACCTGATGAGGCCGGCCATATCGATGGAAGGTGACTGTGGCAGGTCGGTCTGGTTCGTTCCACTAGTTTGGCCGACCTGTTCCGCCTCTGGGGTATTCTGCACAGCAGCCGTATCGTCTGTTTGCAGATAGGTCTGGTTAATCACTGGGAGTCCAGTGATTGGATCAATGATGGGGTCATGTCTGTTGTCCCCGGTGAGGTTGGCAGCTCCACCGGCGAGAGTGGTGGTATTAGGATCAGTGGGTATTTCAACCATCTTCAAGCTCCGATTCTTTTAAAGATTTAGTCTCTTATTCCCAACAGACGGCGCCAACTGTGATAAGTCAAATTTGACTTATAAAATAACGAGAGTTTGTGGGTTTAAAGAGAGATCTACCCACTCTTAGGATTAGTAAAGATGATAAAACTTATTTTTTTCTTTAATTTGTTATAGATCAAGAAAGAAATATATATTTAACATATATATGAATTAACAAGATTATATTGTGTAAGGAGAAAATAAAACATAGTATCAATAATATTCAAAAAAATATTGTGAGAATTTAGATATTATTTGATATAACTTCTACATTTACAATTATATGTCACTATAAATATTAGAAAAGTAAAAAGTTTTAAAATAAATAAGTTTTAAAAAGCATCAACGTTTCTAAATTACTGAAACATTGCTTGAAATTAAAGATTGGTGTTCCAGTCATGTGTCTTCGTAACATGATCTTAAGGGTGGAATATGCAGTGGAACTAGATTTATTATTACTTAAATGGCTTGATATGTGGTTGAACGTAGAATTATAACGGATAATGAGAAACTCAGAGGTCAAATAGTTATAACCTTTATGATGTATATGACACCACCAGACATAAAGTTTTATTAAAGAATGCGCCGTAGACAATTTCTTTTGACTTTTGCTTTAGCAATGACCATCAACAAATGCCAAGGACAATCACTTGAAAATATCGGTTTGTTTCTACTTAGACCAGTTTTTTTTATAGACAGCTATATGTTGCGTTATGTAGAATTAAGTTTAGATCCAGACTTAAAGTTTTCATAACAGACAAAGAACAAAATATGCAAAAGAAAACTATGAACATCGTCTAAAAAAAAATATTTCAAACTCTTGCTTAGTTTATATGCTTTTGATATATTTTAACTCTACTTTTTTATATATTTTAATTTTTTTTATTTATTTAGTTATCATAATTATATTTTACATTGAATTATATAATATTTTCTATTTAATTTATAGTTAACTAGGAGAAGGTCCGCGCGTTGCACGGATTTGTGATAATTTAAATATTTTCATATTGTTTGTTTCTAAATGTTTCTTGGTAAATATTAATTAGTAATTTTTGATTATTATGTAGTAATAAAATTTTATATTAAAAAATTGGTAGAATAATTATATCTATAGTGAATGAGATTTGTTTTATTCCACATAAGTATATAATCAAATTATTTATCTTTGATAATAAGAATATATTTTTTTTGTAGTATAACCAATCTGAAATATATTTTTGTGTAGTTTGTGATTGCAAAATAAAATATTGATATGTTTTTGGTCATTGTTGTTTATCAAAACCTATAGCACAAATGTCATATTTTTCTTGTGTACTTTGTACTTGTGTTTTCTATAAGTCTCCAACTACAAAATCAACATCTAGAATAGATGTCAGGATAAAGTTTATTAAACTCTCGGTTAATATACTTGATATTATGACATTCATATCATGATTAGTGATGTGGAAGTTAATCACATATTTGAAGGTAGAGGTTTTTGCTTGTAGTATTTTATTGGTGCTAAAAAGAATGGTCTAGTTGATGATCTATTATTACGGAATGGATGTGTAATTTTGAAAAGGATTTTGTTTCCAATTGATCGAGTTAAACAAAATCTATGATAATGTAATGCACTGATTGTAGATTGTATTTAATTATCTTTATTATTTTATTTAGTGTATAATTATGAAGGATACATATGAATTTTTAATGTGTTTAAGCTTTTTCTTTCTTTAAATATAAGTGACACATTTCAGTGTATAGAGTGCCACGTGGTAACGTTTCGAAGCTGTTCTGAAAAAAAATCCTTACTTTATTAGAATAGATTAATTTTTTTTGTGGTAATAAAAGTGAGTTGTGTTTGTAGATTGTTGAATCGTTCTTGCTATTTACAGATTGTTGTAAAATCTATATTGCAGTTTTCGTTTTTGTGTGCATTGTATTTAATTATCTTTATTATTTTTGTTTAGTGTAGTAAATTTAATATTCTCTTTTCGTTAACCAGTTTTCTTTTAAATATAAATATATAAAATGAAGTAAGAGACATAATGAAAGAGGATAGTCTTGAGAAGACAAAAAAAAAAGTGACACATGATCTTACTTATTATATAACATTTCACTGAGTAATTTGATTTTTGTTTTTATTTATTGGATGAAAGAGAATCATTTAGTAACACATGTCAGTTTTTTTAGATATCACGTGACAGCATTACAAAACTGGTTCTGAAAAAAACCTCACTTGATTAAAATAGATATTTTGTCTGAGTGATTTGATTTTCGTTTCTGTTTGTTAGATGAAAAATAATTGTTTGTACAAGAGAACAAAAATCTAAATTTTTTTCACAAAAGCAAATAATACATGGTTTTCTGTTCATTAGGCCAGAAAGAAAACATAAAAAGGAATATATTTTGTACAGTGAGACAATGTCAAAATCAGCTCTTAAAAGTTTATAATCTCCTTGGATAATGTGAAGTAAGAGACATAATGAAAGAGAATAGTGATGAGGAAAAAAAATAGAGAAAAAATAACACATGATCTTATTATATTATATAATATTTGCTTGAGTGATTTGATTTTTGTTTCTCTTTGTTGGAGAAAAAAATAAGCATTTGTAGAAGAGAAAAAAATACTGAAGCTTTCATTATGTGTTTGTTTAATGAAAAAAAATTAATAAATATTGCAAAAAAAAAGAGAAAAAGTGACACATAAAGAAATGAATCTATTTTTTGGGATGAAACAATGTCATAGCTAGCTCTTAAAATTTTAGAAAATCTCTTTGAATAATATGAAGTAAGAGGCATAATGAAAGAGAATAATGCTGAGAAGAAAAAAAAAGAGAAAAAAATAACATATGATCTTATTATGTTACAGAAAGAAAACATAAAGAAACAATGTCATAGTCAGTTACTGGATTAAGTTGAAAGATTGATTGGAATATGTTTTAACGGCAAATGTTTTTGGATTCAAAGAGGTGATCAAAATTACACTACACTTGTGTTCCGTGTTGTGGAAAACTTGGCGGAATGCAGATGCTTGGCCATTCTACAGCGTCAGACGTACTGTTACCCCTCTATAAGAATGATAAGAATTATGAAATAGAATTTATTATAGTATTGTAATAGACTTGTAGAATAAATATATAGTATGGTGTAGTACTTTTGTAGTAAGAGAACAACCACAACTTTTTGAGTTGAGCTTGAGTCTTCCAGATTTGATCATTGGACATGTATAATTTGTCCTACTATATCTGTGAAGAGAAGTATGAATATGTAGGATTCAGTGGAATTAAATTAGTCATGGTTTTTGGTTTATTTCTATAAATATATAGAAAATTACATACCAAGAAGTTAGAAATTGGTGTCAGCGAGAGATTCCAATTCTGAGTATGTGCCCAATCTGAATTCCTCTTCGTTGATAGCAGGGAAGATATCATCGAGTACTTCAAAAATTTGAGTGGCGTTAATAAACCGGAATAAGAGGTGTCTGTTAGTGATTTTGTAGCGACTGTAACTGAGTACTACTTCAAATTGATACAAGAAATAAAGATTTCCATCTTTAAGTAGACTTGTGAATCTGTGGATCCGTCGGTGGTAATTGGAAGCTTGGATGACATTATCCTATTTGGAATATTTGAATAAAAAAGTTCTGTGAGATGACGTCAAACGGTTTAGCATATAAAGATTATGTGTCCACATAGTGTTTAGTTCTCTTAATAATGAAACAATTTAGCAAGGGACATGGTTGTAAGTAAAGAAAAACAATTAATAAAGCCAAAGATATATGTACCTTTTCATCTAAAAGAAGAAGATCAAAACTCATTAGTGCTCTATCGAGTTTAAAATTACGCACTTCCCAAGAGCGAGAAAGATAGACGGTTATGTTTTGGCTGGATTTTCCTTGTTCCAGTTTGCCTTACGGAATGGATGTCGACAACAAAGAGGCCAGATGGTTTTTGTCCATAGTGATTTTGACAAATCTGTGAGAAAATGAAAGAATGATTATATTATTGCAACAAATCACAAGCGCAGTTGCAAGTGTAAAATACGTACGTGTATAATCAGTGAAGAAAGGCAAGACGAAGTGCGGCTAACCATTTGAGAAGTGGTTATTTATAATAGGTCGTGGTTGAGAATTAAGATGACTTTTCGTAAAAAGAGGATATTATTATTAGCACAGAAAAACATCTTTAATAAGTGTGTGATGATTTTGAGAAGAGAATGAACGAATCTATGAATATAAAATGTATCCAATAGTAAAAACTTATTAAGACTTATAAATACAATGAACCAGAATAAATCTTTGTGATTACTATGAGTAATATTAATGTAAGTTGACTAAGTAGTTAAATAGGGAAACTCGAAGGACATTTCATATTTTCGGATCTACTTATATAAAGGAGGTGTGTTTATTTTTTATTCACCAACAAAACAAATTTTAATTATTCTAACCAAATTATGAAACGCAATACTTGCAAAACCGTTCTTACTATGTCACTTTGCCTCCGTCGTTGTAGTACCAATGGCCCAAGCGATGATGAAATGAACTAAGAGTAAAACCAAAAAGAACAAAGAGAAAAACCAATCAAACGTTTTAGCAGAGAATATTCATCAAAGCATTGACACAAAATTATATCCAAAATCTTGCAAACAAATTGGAAAATCTTTTTGGTTAGCTATTCATTTAAGTTGATCATTTGCACATATAAAATCCTTAATCAATGATGCGCTTAAGTTGGGCTGTTGTTCAAAACACAAACGGCTTCAGTCAATGACAGGGAAGAAAGAATTATATTGTTCAGAACCACATAGCTTTACCATGTAAGGATTTAGCTTTGAAAAGCTGTCCGTGTCCGGTAAATCTCCATGGAGTACTGCCTCATAGATTCCTTTGTGTTTAATAGAAGAATAAGATTGTCAGAAAGTCAATAAAGAGATCCAAAAACCAAACATAGAATATTCAGGACCGTGATATGGAGCAGATTAGTTCATAAAGCAAAGGTAACACAGAAGGTTATCTCCAAGTCTGAATTATCCTCATCTGAGAGAGAATAAGGAGTGTAAACAGAAGCCCAGAATACCTGCAACTGAGGAAGAACTTATCGCTCACCACCATCCGCTTCAGCCTTGAAGTCAGCAAAATGAGGAATCCGAAACCTCCAGATCAATCCTCACACGAAGGGAAAATAACCAAAATCGCAGAGTTATGAAGAAGAAATGTTTGATAGATATTGACAAATCTAGATTCGATTTCTTACCTTTTTCTTAATTTGAATTATGTCTCGTAAACCCAGCGGAAAAACAAAACATTCCATACCAAACACGAAAGGAAACAAAAAAAAAAGAGATTCAGAATGATAAGGAAGAAATATTTGGTAGAATCATAGAAATCGTCAACTCTAAATTCGATTTCTTACCTTTTCTAATCTGAACGATATCTCGGTGGAAGAACAAAACAATACAAACAGAGATGAAGAAACATGAGAGAGAGAGAGAGAGAGAGAGAGAGAGAGAGAGAGAGAGAGAGAGAGAGAGAGAGAGTGTTAAGAACTGTTTATGATCAATTGGTCAATGGTCTATATTTTATTTCTGGGCGTAAAACGGTAAAAGAGTTGGAAAGAGTAAAACTATTAAATAAAAAAAATTCAAAGCTGAGGTGTCATGGAGAAGGGTGCTGACATGTCACCCTTTTGTGAGACACAACCCAATTTTTATATAATAGATAATATAATACTAGAGTTTGGATATACAAACTTGCACAAGCTTTTTTTCACAAAAATATTTAGGCCACAACACATTTCATTTAACTTTCGTCTTTAACTGACATAAATTTCATATTTTCATTTCAAACAAATGTTAAATTTCTTCGAATCAAACAGCCAAGATAATATTGATGAGGTATTATGACTGTATATTTGTATCATCTTTTCCCGAGTAATTTAAATTGTATATAATCTTTATTTTTCTCTAAATGTTCAGCACTTAACCAATTTTATGTTTTCATCTTTACATTACAATGACGACATTTGTTTGAGGAACTATACTAAAGTGAGATGCAAGGACTTTAGTGATCAACATAAGTTTTTTGGGGTCCAGATTTATGTACAAATAATCTGTTTACAGAGAAAAAAATTACATTGATTTATTGAATACCCTCAAATTATTGCAGAAGCTACATATCTTTATCGAAGCTAGATGTCAGTAATCTGAAGTTGATCAAATTTTACTATTGAATCATATTATATTGATGAGTTTAACTTTCCTTTCACATTCTTTCTGATATGTATTTTATGATGTTGAAATAATTGAAATTTTACTATTATTACAGATTCCGAAATATAGCAGCGGTTTTGGCATGGTCTGAGGCAAATGCAAGTAGATCATCCTCAGACATCTCTTGATCAAGGTAATAACTAAAATAGAAATCTAATTTGCTAGACTATTAGATTTCATTGCGTGATTGTTATTAAATAGTTTTAACGTGTATTACAAACTTTATAACAATATAATTCTTTTTTTTTTTTTTTGGGCAAATTATAACAATATAATTCAGTTTGCATCATTATTAAATGAAATTAATACTGGAAAGAATAGTAGTATGATAAATGAGAAATAATACAAAATTCTGGAAATAATTAAAACTAAAGTATGTAATTAAGGGAACTTTTTATTTTTCATATGATTCATTAGTTAAAAATGAGTTACCATTAACTATTTAGTAACTACAATAATGAGTTACTAATTAGTTAGGTTGATAAGTTTTGGAAAACCTCTTTTAAAACCACATTCATAGTTTTTCTTTGAAGTTTTCCTTCTTTATCCCAATCACAATCTTCAAACCTTTTTTAGATGTCATTCTCGATATTAGATATGGCAACATTAAGTTGACCATGTGAAAAAACTGGTCTCGGTAAAAGGAGACTAACTTCAGAAACCGACAAACCTTGGTTTTTGTTGATTGTGATTACAAAAGCAACAACTAAAGGCACATATCTTCTTCTCATTTTAAATGGCAATTTGGCATCTGATGGAGTAATCAATAGTCTAGGAATGAGTACTTCTTGTCCATTTTTCTCTCCTGTAATGACTTTAGCTTCAACCATAAAATCTGCTACTTGAGTAATCTGCAACCTAGTTCCATTCATCAATCATCCAATAGGATCAATATTCCATAGCAACATAACATGATAACCAATCTTCAAACGAAGACTATGATTAGGTAATTCAGAAGCTTTCATACTGTTTAGAAACTCTGGAGTAAGAGCTTCATTTGTAGTTGCATTAGTATCAGAAAGGTCTAAAGAGTCTGCACTTAAATAGATCTTTTCCTCACCTAGTTTAAGCAATAAATAAACGCATGTTAAATACATAAAATAAAAACAAACCAAAACAAAATTAATAGTGAAGATTAAATATTAACTAACCCTTTAGTGTATCGAGCATATGCTCATTAATCATGTTGCCATCTTAAAAAAACTTAGGATCTTTATATTCTTGCAATGAAGCAGTATCTCCATATATATTTCTGCTTAAACATTCTATTGGATCTAGAATAAAAAACTCTTTTGGAATGTCAATTAGAGCTTCGCCATCATTAGGCTCACAAATCTTCCCATCACCAACTGCTAATATCCACTGAAAAAATTCTTTAAGGTCTTTTTCTTCTTGAACAGATAGATTCTCAGAAATCAAACGCATATTCTTCGTCAGCTTATGCACTTTACAACGATCCCAAAGATATGAAGAATTAAGCGATGCTAAAACAATTTCTACCCTACCAGCACCATGAATCACAGGAAGTACATGTTTAAATCGCTTCCAAAAACCATAACTTTTCCACTGAAAAGTTTATTCTTCTTCTTCCTAGTAATGTCTTGTAAACTTCGATCCAAAGATTCAAAACAATGTTTGCTCATCATTGGGGCTTCATCCCATATTATAACAGATGCCTGCTTAGCAAAATTTGCAAGATCCAAACCAGCTTCCATTGTACATGTTGAGAACTCATCAAAACATTTATGAATGCCAAACCTTGAATGAGCAGTTCTGCCACCTTGTAACAACAAAGAAGCTATACCGCTAGAAGCAACATTGAGAACAATATCGCAATATATAATTCTCTATAAAAACATCTTTCCTGTTCCACCAAATCCATAAAAAAAAAAGAAGACTCCACCACAATCACCTAAAATGGCACCAATAATCTCATCATATATCTTCTTTTGCTCATCTGTAAGCTTCAGAAAATCTCTGTTATGGTTTGTTTTCAACTCTTCTATGTTGTAACTGAGCTCATCGATGATCAAAATATTCAAACTCTGACTACCACTTAGATGCACCTTAGGCATAGATTCAAATCCTTCCAGTAATGTTCCATTACTTTTCAGAATCCTCTCAATCTCCTGAAGACAAAACTTTTTCTTATCATCATCACTCATAATCATTCCTGTATTAAAACATGATTTAAGATAAAATTCAACAACACTGAAGAAGCAATAACACACTACTAATGAAATATATGTATGTAATTTGAAAAAACCAAAGTAAGTACTAACCTGGTCTATTCATTTATTGTTTTTTCTTGAACTTCATATCGTCCAAAAGAAATTTCCATGTATAATTCCAAACAATCTCAGGTCTAGATAAACTATTAGAGCTAAGCATAATAGAATTTTTTTGACGAAGATATGATGGAGTGCACCTAAAAATCCTTCTTACAATATCATCAATATACTCTTGGTCATCTTCTAGCAAACCTCTTGCAAAACACACATCTTTGTATGAAGGTTACACAACTTTATTGAATGTTTTTATATCCTTATAAGAATTTGGACCTCTAAAAATGTTTAGAAGCACTCAAAGATAATATGAGACCACTATCTTGTGTGGGGCATAATTAATTCTACCAATACTAAAATCTCTCTCTCTCTGACTTTAAAACATTTCTGGCTTGCATTATATGTGTACATAGTCAGGATTTGAGCATAAATGAGTTTCTTAGCATCAGGATCTACCTTGTTCAATTCAAACCATGCCAGGAACATGGTATTTTCAATAAGCTTTTGGGCTACGACTTGTTTCACTTCATCACCATCTCTCCATATCACATTATATTTTCCTGGTAGATGCTAATTAAGTTTCTCAACTGCTGTAGATCGATAATGAATAGGAAACTTGAAAATCCTCCAAGCAGCTTCACATCTAGAAACATACCTGAAAACACAATATAGTTAAAATAGATTTCTAGTATTAAAACAAAATAAAAATATGTGAAGAACAAAATTACAAAAACAGTAAAAATGACTAACCTGCAATCAAAGAAATATTTAATCTCATCTTTATTTTCTCGGAAATCACTTTTATTTTTACTTGAAACATTGTCGTTTTGTATAGAACCATTGTCGTAATCTCTTGTTCCATTATTTTCGTGATCCTTCTCTTCTGGCTCAACAACAACAGCTACACGATCTACTCTTTTAGTGATGTAATAAATATTTGATAGATCCAAAATGATTGCACCGTTCCACGTTAATGTGAGTCTGATAAAGAAGTGATAACTCTCTGTTATATGGAATGATATATCTAGTATCACACTTATAACTATTTTTCTCAACAAACTTATTTGCTTGCTCACGCCTTATATAAACAGGAAAACCTTCTCTATTGACTGTTGTCTTTTCTGCATGAGGCTTAGGATATAAAAATTGGTACATTTACCATTATCCATACATGGTGAATTCAAATTAACCTGTCTGTAAGGTCCATGAATCATCATGTCTTTAATCACTTCGTATAGAACAGGTTCAACGAAACGATCAGGAATCTTAACAGATATAATCTTATCAATATCATCAGTAGTAGGGAACTTGCATTTAGGATGCATGAATAGAATAATGTGAGCATGGAGTAAACCTCATTTCTGAAATGCTATTGTATACATTGCTGCGATAGCT